GTCCAGCTCCCGCTGCGCTGACTGTTCCTCACTCCGCGCCCAAGCGACCAGGAATCCCTGTCCATTCGCATTCGCAAGCCCTTCCCAGTTCCTCTCAGAGCCATCTCGTCACCATCGTAGACAGAATGCTCTTATTTTAGTCTCTTCCCAATATTCTCCCTCTTTCGCAAATCTCCTCCCATTTTCACATCTAATGGTAATTGTATCATCCCCCTCCCTCCATCTCTTTCCTTCTCTCCTTGTCTTATTTGTTTTGAGTTCTGTGTTCCTACCCACATTATGTGTCGGTGTGTGTATGTGTATATGTATGTCAGTGTATGTATGTCAGTCTTACTTTTCCCATCTCCCTAGCTTTTGCCTTCTTTATTCATCTTTTTTCTTCTCCCTTATCCCTGAGATTAAGGCATGTTACAAACTACATAGACCCTTACCTATACTCATGCCTGTTTGTTCTTCTACCAATAGATACACATATTTGTATTTTTTACACAAAACCAGATCCAATTTGTATTCTTCTTTGGTTTGTCCATTGCATATCTTATACAATAAAACAACTAGTCAATCCTACCCAATAAATGGGTATAGGTACACTTCATTATTTTATTGGATGCAAAGTCTGTGGAATATGTAGCAACTTATGTAACCATTTCTTTATTGATGATAATTTTCTTGAGGTAAAATATATTTCTTTTTTTATTTCTGTTTCTTTAACTGTGAACAGTTACACAGTGCAGCATTAAGTATTCTCATAAATATCCTTTTAATCTATTTAGAGAATCCCAGGCTAGCTCAACAGTTATATGCAGTTTTTATGTTAATGGATGTTGCCAGATTGCTTTCCAAAAGGACTATAAAGCAGAGGAATGTAATAATAGTTCATCTCTTCTCTTGACTTATAATAATATATCTTCACTTTATTTCTTTTGGTAAATGAGGTAGATAGTGTCCAATTACATTAATTTCTTTGGCAACATATCGGAAATGTAGCTTTGGCTCTTAAATCAGCAGTGTTCTGGCAGCTCTCCCAATGCTACTTATTAGAATTGAAAAGTAAAGAGATAAAAAAGATACAAACCCAATATCAAATAAACAGGTTGTATTGGTCAGTAGGTAACCTTCCATTTTTTCAAAACTTGTTAAAGAATTGCATAGCACAAACTGCTTAATTCTCTTCTTAGGGCTGAATCCAAGCAACAGTGTGAGATGTCTCACTGGCCCTTCTTACATTTGCATTAAATTCCACATTTCTGTATTTTCACCATCTATTCAAGGCACACATCCTGGAGAGAAAATAAACTGGGTTTCTGTTCGGCCAGGTCTGACCGCTGTCCATTTGGGGGCGTTGCCAGAGCCTCGGAGTCATTCAGGCCTGAAGGCACATGGATGGTGTCCACTTATTCCCGTTCCTTCAGAGGCGAAATGACCGGAGGGAGGGGGTGCGTCGTTTTCCCAGGTTCCCACGCTGCTGCTGCTGGACGTGTCTTACCGTGGCTTCTCGCACACTGTGGACTGTGGCGGTGTCTGCCCACATCTAGGCCTGTATCTTCTTGTTTTTAATGTAATTAAGATGTCGTGTGATCAGTGGCTTCTTACAGTTCACTGGCAGTATGGGATTTTAATAGTGGAGATAAGAACGGTCAATCTTATAACTGATGAGATATTAGTTATTTATAAAGTACAGTCTTTGTTTGGAACTTCCTTCCCCACCCCACCTCACCCCTCCTCCATTTAAACTCAGCAGAATTGCCCTGGCCAGTTTTGCTCAGTGGATAGAGCATCAGCCTGTGGGACGAAGGGTCCAGGGGTCAATTCCTTCCGATCAAGGGCATGTAGCTCAGTGGCAGGCTCCTTCCCGGCCCGGGCCCTGGTTGGGGCTCCTGCAGGAGGCAGCCATTTAATATGTTTCTCTCACATCGATGTTTCTGTCTCTCCCTCTCTCTTCCACTCTCTCTAAAGATCAATGGAAAAATATCCTCAGTGAGGATTAAAAATAATAATAAAAGTAAACTCAGCAGAATTGAAATACAGAAGTAGAAATATGAGGGTAGACCTGCTCGTAGGTATTAGTTAATAATTTCCTTAAAAAGTGACCATCTCTTTTCAAACCACACAGTAACAAACCCGGAAGCCGCGAGGCTAATAATGCTTATTCAGTGTGTATCCCACGACTGGCATGGACTGCTGTTCCTCGTAGCTGAATCTCCTCTCCAGACTCCCTGCACGGGTTAGGTTCATTTGTGGCGTTTATTTAAACATACCGACATCAAACTAGTTATAGAAACCGTATGCTTTCAGCTCTGATGTAAACGAAAATAGAAAACAAATGGAGATACAGCAGACAAAACATCAAATGTGTGATCTTCATTTACACAGCAGGTGACAGCGCTTGGCAGAAACCAGACCCCCTCTCAGCGACAGGTGTGTGTGCGCACCTCATCTCACCAAACGGAGAAGGGGTTCCCGGAGGAAAGGAGGGGTTCACGGAGGAAGTTTGTTGGGAGAAGCTGGTCCTAGAAAAGATGTTGGGGCCGTGGTTGGCAAACCGTGGCTCTCGAGCCACATGCGGCTCTTTGGCCCCTTGAGTGTGGCTCTTCCACAAAATACCACGGCCTGGGCGGGTCTATGTTGAAGAAGTGGCGTTAGAAGAAGTTTGAGTTTAAACAAGGTGGCTCTCCAAAGAAATGTCCATCGTTGTCCTGTTGGTATTTGGCTCTGTGGACTCATGAGTTTGCCGACCGCTGTGCTGGGATATCCTAGTAGCATCAGGTGCTGCTCAGCGCTCAAGGGCACCGTAGCTCATGATGAGTCCGCGTGGGGAGGCCCCGTGGCCGTTCGCCCGGCTCAGGGAGCAGGTGTCTGACCTCCAGCCCAAGGGAGAGAGGGGGAGGAGCCTGCTTTGTAATCTGGGGGGGGAGGGTGGATACAGCTAGCTCCTGATTGGTCTTTTCCAATAATCCTGCCTTAGCAAGTTCCTTGGGATTGGTTTACATGCCTTCCTGCCTTGTGATGGGTTGTTAGCAAGCTGCTGTGTTAGCCATATCCGTACAATTCAAAGTTCATGCCTCTGGGGGTGCCCTGCCTTCCCGCTCAGTTGGGTGCTTGAGTAACTACCTCGCTGGGTCCCGGGTTCTAGTTTCTCTTCCCCCCGGGGTCCCCGTGCCTGACCCCCTAGCTTCCCCGGTTCCTCGGGATCATCAGCATGCACGTGGCAACGGTAGACTGCTCTACCAGAGCTGCGACTTTTTCCAGAGAACGGACAGACATTTCCCTGACGCTTATTTTTTGGCATTTGTGCCATAAGGCATGTGACGCATAAACTTCGCCAGCACTTTCCATGTGGGTGACACTCTGTTCCATGGGACACGTCATGGGACTGGGGTCCTGGTTCATGAGCCAGAACGTGAGCTTTTCCATGTGGATAAATATCTGAACCTTTTCCCAGAAGTATCTTTAGAGAAAAATATTGCAAAAAAAACCACTACCACCCCTCCCCGCAACACCTAGCTTAGATGATTATGAGGTCCACACACAAGAAAGATTGTCTCTCTCATGATACCTCTGTCTCTCTTTCTCTTCTTTCAAAGAGTAACATCAGCACAGCTGGTGCAGCTCAGTGGTTGAGCGAGGATTTGGGAACCAGGAGGTCAAGGTTTGAGTCCCATCAGGACACAGGCCCAGGTTGCAGGCTCCATCCCGGGTAGGGGGCGTGCAGGAGGCTGCAGATCCATGATTCTCTCATCTCTGATGTTTTTCTCTCTCTCCCTCTCCCTTCCTCTCTGAAATCAATACAAATATGTTTTTTAAAAGGAGTCAAATCGAGGCGGCAGATCGGTTTGAGGACCATATTAAAGTTTTCAGAGTCGCTGCTGTGTACAGTCTTGTATCAGGGACCCTGTGGATGGCACATCTTGGAATCCTGGCTCCCACGTGGAAGAGATAAATTCTATCCAAGTGCAGTTTGCTCTGGGCAGGACGCAGGGGAAGGTGTGGGATCTGCTTTCACCCTGTAAGTCCTTCCAGGAGGAAGCCTCCAGCAAACCTGAGCCCCTCCCGGTGGATCTCTCTGGCGCCCTGAGCCCTGTTGGCACCTGGGGGCCACCCCGCTCCCCGCAGACCAGCGGGTGAGGGGGGGCGCCCGGGCCAGGGCTGTGGGCTCAGCCCCGGGCCAGCAGGCGAGGACCAGACCCCGTTCCGTCCCCTCGGGAGGCGGCCGGTCCCTCTCCATCCGCGGCGGGAGGAGGGCGGGAGCCGCACCGCAGCCCGCGGCCTCCGCTCCGCGGCCCAGGGCGCCGGGGTCTGGGGAGGCGGGTGCGGGGCCCACAAGCCAGGGCCGCGTCCTCCCCTCCCGCCGGCACCCTTCCCGGTCCGTCCACGGGGCACGGCTGCCCGCGCCGGGAGACCGGGCGGGGGGGACCCGGCCTCCCACTGAGAAAACACGGAAACGCATTAAGACAGACCGACCGACCGACCGACCGTAGAGCCGGGAGGGCACGCGGGGGGAGCCGCCGAGGGGGGGCGGCTGGGCACCTGCGTGGCCGCCCAGGACTGTTCATTGTCCCCATCGCCGCCGACTGCGGCCGCCTCCGCCTGCGGGTCCGGCCACCGGGGGGCCCTCCTGCCTGAGCGCGTCCCCTCCCCACGGGGACCCCCTCCCGCCTGTGCCTCCGCCCACCTGGCCCTCCCGCCTGTGCCTCCGCCTCCGCTCCGCCGGGCTCCGCCATTGGCTCCGGGTCCGGGCTCCGCGCACATAACCGCCTCCCGCCGCTCCGGGAAGCCGGGAAGCCGGCGGAGCGCGGGGCGGCGGGCGGCGGGCGGCGCGCACGGCCGGAGCGGGAGCGGGTCCGAGGAGGCGCGGGGCGCGGGCAGGCGGGTGCCCCTCCCGGCGCCCCCGTGCCGGCCCGGCCTCCCGGCGCCCCCGTGCCGGCCCGGCCGTGGCTGCGGCTCCGGCTGCAGCTGCGCTCCGGTTCGGCGGCCCCGGTTCGGCCCGGCGGCGGCGGCCCATGGAGTGCTACTACATCGTCATCAGCTCCACGCGGCTCAGCAACGGGCACTTTCGCAACATCAAGGGGGTCTTCCGGGGCCCGCTGGGCAGGACGGGGGGCCGGACTCTGGTGAGATTTGGTGTTCCCCCCCTTCTCTGTCTCTCTCTCCCCCTTTCTCTCTCTCTCCCCCCTTTCTCTCCCCCTTTCTCTCTCTCTCCCCCCTTTCTCTCTCCCTTTCTCTCTCTCTCTCCCCTTCCTCTCCCTCCCGCCCTCCGGCCCAAAGGGCAGGTGCCGGTGGGTCCGGAGGCGGTGAAGGCGATCCCACGGCTCCCAACGCGTGGTGTGTGTCCGCGCGGTGGGGACTGGGGTGGGATCGGGGAGAATTGGGGTGGAATTGGGATGGAATTGGGGGAAATCGGGGTGGAATTGGGGGAAATCGGGGTGGAATTGGGGGAAATCGGGGTGGAATTGGGGGAAATCGGGGTGGAATTGTGCGGGATCGCAGGCGCCGGAGCGGGCAGCGGGGACCGGGCTGGGCTGACCCCAGCTGGCCGCGCTCCGGACCGCATAGCGCGGAGCTGAGATGACCCGTGTCTCCTGATCGGAAGCAAACTGTGTCCGCAGGACTCCTTTTAAGGAAGAAAAATAAAAAATAAAATCAAACCAAACCCCGCAGCGTGTTTGCGCTTGGGAAGCTTAGGGGACTGAGCCTGCTGCGTCCCTGGCGGGCGCCGGGGGCCTGGATGGAGCGGGCGGAGTGCGGGATGGGCTGTGGATGGAGCTGGCCAGGGTGCTGAACGGTCTCAGGATTTCCGATGCCGGCGACAGGGAGCAAACTTCTCTGGAGAGTAGTTCTGCTCACCCCGCAGCGACTTTCAGCTATTGGCTCCCAGGAAGGGGCCGGAGACCAGGGGAGGGGGCCGGGGACCAGGGGAGGGAGCCTGAGACCAGGGAGGGGGCCGGAGACCAGGGGAGGGGGCCGGAGACCAGGGGAGGGAGCCTGAGACCAGGGAGGGGGCCGGGGACCAGAGGAGGGGGCCGGGGACCAGGGGAGTGCTGGCAGGTGCTGTTCTCAGAGCCCCTAGGAAACCGGCTGGATGGATGGGACCCTGCAGGCTCGGGGAGGTCCTCTCTGACCACGAGCCCCATCCTCCCCTCCTGGCAGGGAGGTCACTCCTGATTGGTGGTGGAGATGCTGAGCATTGGGATGGTGCAGTGTGATGATCCAGGTTACTCTTTCTTCCCAAACCCTCTTAGCAACACAGCCTTAGGCAGGACGACTCCCAGGTGTTGGGATCTCCTCGGAAGTATGCACTTCATTCTATCCACAACAAATAAAAATAAAAATAAAGTAGCGGGAAGGCTCCTTAGGCAGTGGAGCCAGAAGGTGGGCAGATGCAAATGTGAGATCCCTGAGGCTAGGACCATGACATTAGCAAGCAGCATCTCCCCTGTTGTTTTTGTTTGTTTGTTTTGTTTTGTTTAACAAAGTGATTACCTAGCCTCAGGAGAGCAGTAGTTAATGGACAAATTCCATGAGTTTTTTGGTCGGCAAACTGCGGCTCACGAGCCCCTTAAGTGTGGCCCTTAGGCCAGCTTAGGAGTACCCTTATTAAGTTAATAACAATGTACCTACCAATATAGTTTAAATTAAAAATATTTGGCTCTCAAGAGAAGTTTCAGTCCTTGTACTGTTGATATTTGGCTCTGTGGACTAAGGAGTTTGCCGACCACTGGGTTAGTCCAAATGCAAGTACAGTGTTGTTCATCTACTTTTCTTTGTGTGTCTGAGAAAAATGATTCTGCACGTTAAATGTGCTGTGATGTGTTTTCAAAAAAAAAAAAAAACTCATTGGAAGTTTTAAGAGAATTTTGACGCAGATTTTTCTTTTCTTTTCCCATTAGTCTCTGGGGCCACTTCTCTCAGCTCATTTAAGAATCAAAGAGGCAGGGCAGTTTGTTGTTTTTTATTTCGGTTCTGGATAAGGTTGTTGGTGGTGGTTTTTGAACAAAAGAAAGTAAAATACCTTCTGTGGCTTTCCTTAGAGCAAAGACTAGGGAATCGCTATGGTTATTCTAGTTTGATTTAGAGGACTAGCCACGTAAGTAAATTGTTTTTGGAAGGGAAACCTTCATTTTAAAGAAAGTATGTTCTGGCTTCTTTCTAAAACTCAAGTTTCACTTATGGGAAAAGGCAAACCTATTGAACAAGATCTCATTTTGTTGGTGCTTAAACCTCAAACAGAATATGTAGACAAAATTTTACTTGGAAACACCTCAGTTTGTTCATAGTATGATAATCTTGATGTGTGAATCAACCTTGGGTTTCTAACAAGGATTGGCCTTGCTTTTGCTGATTTGTTTGTGAATTTGAAATCGGTTAGTTCTGTATCACTCGTATTAGCCAGGAAGTGGTTAAATGCTAGATTTCCCAGTGTAACTTTGAACCTTTGTGAGATAAATAAGTCAAGATATAAACACATGTCACAAGCAGCAAACAAACAAAAGGTTTAGACATAGCTGCTACCATATTTCTTCTCGTTACAGTGAAAGGACTTAAAGGGACTTTATAACCAGTCCCTCCAGGTTATGTCTGTAAACTGCTCCAGTCTCTATGTCCTGTGTGAGAGTTATGTGGACAGAAGTGATATAGGTTCTAATGTATGGTCCAACTATATTTGACATTTTAGATTTATGCCTATTTTAAAGGATAACAGAAGAGGTGCTAAATATAGTCACTGGTGCATGTATGTTAAAGAGCATTTGTACTTTACAAACCTTCCTTGCCAACATTTACAGTTGCCTAAGGTGTGTTACTTATAGCTCATAGGATGCCATGAGGACTTTCTGTAAGGGAACTTACTATAAGCTCTAACCAGAAAACTGAACCTAACTTCTCAGAATTAATGACCTTGTAAGAAACACAAATACTAACTCAAAAATGTGTATGTGCTATGTTTTGAACATTTTCAAGTAAGAATTTATGATTATCATGTTTTTAATCTCAGTTTCAGAGAATAATATTTATGGGATCATTTTCACTTTTTTTGTCTATTTGATGTTGATATATTTTTAATTTTCCCTTTAAAAAAATGATCATATTCCTACATTTCAAAATGTGCACTAACTTAAAAGGATTTTTAACAATATCTCCAGTGGTCCTGTGTGTGTGTGTGTGTGTGTGTGTATGTGCATGTGTGCAGGAAAAGTACAAATTACATCCCAAAACCATTTAGAGAAAATGTATTTTGATTTTTGCAAAGAATTTGCAGTTATTTTCAATCATTGGATAACTAATGGATATTCTGAACATTTAAAAAATTCACAATTAAATAAGATGACTTTACAATCTTCAAACAAAATAATTGAATTGGGGTAAGTTAGCCCGTAACTGTTAATGCAGTGATATTTTCTGCATTAGAGGTTAACTTAGAGAACAAAATTGCTTCTAGAATAAAACTTGGGTTTCAGTGTCAGTGGTGAATTGTTTGTGGAATATGAGTAGCAGAATGGAATCCTGCTACTCATATTGAGCACGTCACCCAAATGTACAGTTTGTTCCATGGGTCCAGTTTGTTCCAGTTTGCCATGCACACATCAGATTTGGAAAGGTTTGTACATATTAAGTCTGTTGTCAATCTTGAACCTATTCCTGAGCTTTTAAATCTGTTTCTCTTGACAATTTTAACTGAAAACATACAAATTCTATTTGGCACTGTCTTCAAAGCAAGCAGAAAGGTCACGATGCTGGTCATGAATTGTGGTATAAATAGCATCCAATCTGTGATACAATTTTAACTCCATGGAATAAGAAATAAGCTACTACTTTGTTAGTGTTCCAGAATATCATGAATGAGTTATATGGTTTAACTGCTCACCCGCCTGCCTTCCTGATTGCACCTATCCACTTTTACCTGCCAGCCTGATCACCCCCTAACCACTCCCCTGACAGCCTGATTGATGCCTAACTGTTCCCCTGCCAGGCCGATTGCCCTAATTGCCTACCCCTGCTGGCCTGGTTGCTCCCAACTGCCTTCACCTACAGGCCTGTTACCCCCAGTAGTCCTCCCCTTCCAGCCTGATCACCCATAACTGCCCTCCCCTGCCAGCCTTATCACCTCTAAGTGTTCTCCCCTGCTGGTCTGGTTCCCCCCTACCACTGCCTGATGGCCCCCAGCTGCCCTCCCCTGCAGGCTTGATCACCCCCAACTGCCCTTCCTTGCAGGCCTGGTCCCTCCTAACTGCCCTCCTCTGCTGGCCATCTTGTGGCAGCCATCTTGTGTGTTGGAGTGATGGTCAATTTGCATATTACTCTTTTATTAGATAGAATAGTCCTCAAGTGTATATTTCTATGACACATGCTTTGTATAGTGCACAGTGTGCCTGCCACCCAAAGTCAGACCACCATCCATCACCCTTTAGCCACCTCCTACCCCCTTCCCTCAGACACAAACACTATCCCAGGCCCCGCAGCCTGTGTGTGTGGCAGCACACATGAAGTGGTGTGTGCTGCTCACGTTCATTTTCTACGTGTTGGAAAGGATGCACATACTTTGACATATCCACAGGTGTTCTTGCACTCAGAATATTTTCATATGCATTTATTTTGAAAAGTCTGAAAAAACCCTGGGGCTTCCCTGTGGGAATACGGGAACTCCCAAAAGGAGGTGGGTCTTTGGAACAGGCTGCATGGCCTTTGGTTCTGGTTTTCGTTATCGAACACGGCGTTGTGATTCATGCAATTCCCTCACGCTTCTGTGTCTCCTCAGGGATGTAATTTGAAAAATTCCTCTACTCACGGACTCTCTGGTAAGTGGTACATGGCAGCCTGTATGTTAAATTTACCAACTGCTGAATCAGTGCGGATGAGGAAGTGTCATTGTTAGGTTAATATCTCAAGGAGTGAGTGGTCGGCAAAGTCATTAGTCCACAGAGCCAAATACCAACAGTACGACGATTGACATTTCTTTGGAGAGCCAAATTTTTTAAACTTAAACTTATTCTAATGCCATTTCTTCAAAATAGACTTGTCCAGCCGAAACCGGTTTGGCTTAGTGGTAGAGCATTGGTCTGCGGACTGAGGGGTCCCGGGTTCGATTCCGGTCAAGGGCATGTACATTGGTTGCGGA